ATTTTGAAATTTATGGAAATGAAATTGGACAAATTAAAGATGAAAAGTTATCAGAAGAAAAAGAATCAACCGACTATAACAACAACAACAATAATAGTAGATTAATTAGAAAACACGAGAAAAAAATTAGCGAAAAAGTTGATAACGAGATTAACGCAATTAAAGATGATGTTGAAAATATGAAAAATGAAATTCAAAAATTGTCTGATAAAAACGAAATTTTAAATTTGGAAAATGTTGTACATGATTATAATAACAAATTCCAAGAGACTGTGGAAAATATTTTAAATAAAATCACAAAATTAGATTATGATTTCGAATATCTTGGTGAAGAAGTGAAAAGCAAAGAAAATAAATTTGATAAAAGAATTCATAAATTAGAGAGATACATTGTTGATGTTGGTAGCAGTGATGCTAGTAATGGCAGTAGCGGTGGTAGTAGAAGCAGCATTAGTAGCAGTGGAGGAGGAAGTGGTAGCAATAGCAGCACTAGTAATAAACAAGCACCAGCACAACAACAATTGGCACAAGAATTGATCAAAGAAAAACAAACCGAAGATGTTCGAGATAGGTCTTCAATTTATTCAATGAGTCACTAATTGAAAAAAAGTTTTAAAAGTTAAATATTAACACCAACCAACGTCAATCAATCAATACCAATAACCAAAATTTTACCTAGCAAAATAAGCCCCCACTACAATAAAAATCATCATAATCACTAATAAAATATTAGCCCGTCTCGAAGCCAGGTCTTTGCATCGATCCAATTCTCTCAAAGACTCTTTTAATTTCTTTATTTCGTCCACATATTTGTAATATTGAATATGATTATTATTCTCGACCTCTCTTAATTTACTTTCAAATTCTTTTACCATTCTCATCAATCGGTGTGTCATTGGTGATTCTAATCGAACTTTGATTATTAATTGAAGATCAATCAGATAGGTGTTGTAGTTTGAAGAGGCGAGAGTCAAAACTAAATCAAAAGGTATATGTCAAAAGTCAAAAATCAAAACTAGTTTCGGCTTTTGCACAGTTGTGAAACTCTATAGTTTTGAAAACCAACACTAGTAGAGATATAACACCCTACGGAAGAAGGGTGCTTCTACACAAACACCGTCTTTCTTCTCATAGTGTAGGGTAGGGAAGAGGAACACAATAGTATTTTTAATAAACCAGGCTCATTGCTACACACATTAATAAAATTCGCAGTATTTAAGTTCTAGTCACATGATGGTGTAGCAGAACTTGTGCGATTAAAGTCAAGTAGCCAACTTAAGATATAAAACCCCAAAAAATCGGAATATTTTTTATCAATCAATCAGTTAATTAAGCACTTAGTTTTTTTCCTTTACTCTTTTCAATTGATCCGATGATAATATTTCAAAAGATCACAGCTGCCCAATTCATTCATAAAAAAGAAATTTCACGGACCTGATTCAAATTCACTATTTTAGTATCCGAACTTGCAAGTGATTCCTCTTTATCCAATAAAATTTCCAACCTTGCCAATGTATTCAAAATTTGCAAACCTATTCTTTTCTTTCTAGATCTAGGTTTTTGAATAAGAGGTTCATGAAGGTGTATTTCAACTATTTCACAATAAATATGTTATTAAATAAATATTACTTGTAAAATAATTTTTTGTCACAAATACTTGTATATAATTTTAATTATTATTATGATTATTATATATTAAAAATTAAAACCTCGACTTTTATTCGTTTCATTCAAAGTTACAAGAGGTGGTGTTGTTTTAAATTTGCTCATTAATTAAAATATTTACTCGGTGAAAAACTATTTATGTATGTAATTAATCCCCTTGCTTGATCTACTATGACGAAATGTCGTCGATCATTGAAAACATCGAATAATTGAATCACGTGACCACTTAACGCAAAATTCAAAATTTTAAGCAATTGTTCTAAAGGTAAAATTACATAAGGTGCGTTCAAACAACATCTGGACTGTTATATATATATATTCTGGTATATATCAACCATTAAAAATGATTTGAGTAAATTTTTCTTTTAAAATTCTTCAAAAAAATAAATCTCATTCCATAATTAAACTCGTCCCGTAATAAAAGTAATGGACGAGATTTATTTTTTGAAGAATTTAAAAGAGAAAATTTTACTCGAAATCACTTTCAATGGTTAATACACCAGAATACATATATATTATAGTATAGAAGGTGTTTGAACGCGTCTCATGTAATTTCACCTTTAGAACAATTTCTATTATTAATATAGTAAAATTTTGAGCCCCATATTTTTGTGTTACATTATCACGTGACACAACACGATCGAAAATTCGAATTTTAATGATTGACAATACACAGTGAATCTCGATTTAGCGGATACTAATTAAAAATCTCGGTTTTACGGATAAAGTTCAAAGAACGGTTTCATATCAAACCTTAATAAAAACCTTCTCGATATAGCGGATATCTCGGTTTAACGGATTTTTGGAAAATTTTCCCTAATTGCCCAAACTATCCGTTAAATCGAGATTCACTGTGCATGTCCTATATATCGGCAGGAAATGTCCTGTGACTGTTATTATTATTATTTGAACTTTGATAGGACAAGGAAAACTCTATTGAATGAGACCGCCAACACTATGATTCGAAAGTACTTTTAAAAAAAAAAATGTGACCGCCTCATTATAGATTCGATTAATGGAAAATGGAAAAGGTCGCCGCCTTTATATAATTCGAAGGAAAAAATGTCCTCGGTTACACTGAATTCGCAAACATACTAATACTAATAGAGAAATGAAAAATGTCATCGGTTACACTATAATTCGCATTATTATTTAAAAAAATTTATCTTGGTCATATATACCAAAAAAAAAAAATTGAAAATTCAAACTAAAAATAGTAAAAGAATTCCTTATGATTCACGCCAACGACATTTTACTAC